CTTCAACACTCCTGCCTGCCGTGAACTTGGCATTGGAATGCCGACGTGCTGAAACAGGCCGTACTGCTGGTGGCCCTCTGCCAACGCTAAATTCAGGCTATTAACCTGGTTTCCCCTGGACAGTCCTCCAAATTCAGATGATACAGGAGCTCTCCACACAGAACTGCAGACCTTTTCCTGGCTGTCCTTCCTGGCCTGTGCCCTTAGGGTATGACAGTTCTTCAAGACTTTTTGCTGTTTTTCTGGTTCTAATTTCTTGCCACGTGGCATTCACTCGTATTACACATTTCCTAGTGGTCTTTAAAAGCACACAAATTTGCCTAACAAGATTCCCGTGGGATGAGGGGACCTTTTGTTATGTTTCTCTTATTTAAAATCAACTCTGATCACATGATCTAACTTCTGTGAATGCTGGGGCTTTGCAAAGCTCTTGTTCTTACTATAACCTATTCATTATTCTTCTTCTATGTACGGATTTACTCTTTTTCTCTTTAAAGTATTGTCATGGACCTTTATTTTACTTTGTGTAAAGAAACTCTAGGGGCGCCTGGGTGGCTCAGTCGTTAAGCATCTACCTTCGGCTCAGGTCATGATCCCAGGTCCTAGGATCGAGTCCCGCATCGGGCTCTCTGCTCCTCGGGAAGCCCGCTTCTCCCTCTCCCACTCCCCCTGCTTGTGTTCCCTCTCTCTCCGACTCTCTGTCAAAAAATAAATAAAATCCTAAAAAAGAGAGCGAGAGAGAGACAGAGAGAAAGAAAGAAACTCTGATTCCCAGCGTGCCTGGGTAGCTCTGCGGGTTAAGCATCCAACTCTTGATTTTGGCTCAGGTCATGATCTCAGGGTCATGAGATCGAGTCCTGCATCAGGCTCAGCACTGGGCATGGAGCCTGCTTAAGATTCTCTCACCCTCCCTGCCCCCGCTCACACAGGCGTGTGCACTCTTAAAAAAAAAAAAAATTAAAATTAAATAAAAAGAAACTGATTCCCTTTCCATGTGAGTTTCTAAAAAAAATCAGCTCTTGCCACATTTGAGGAAACTCTTACCCAACACAGGATGCCAAAGAATATCTCTAATGATAAAATCCTCAGCACACCGCCACCGAAGCCCACCCCCCTACCCTCGGCAGCCAGCAACAGCAAACCCTCCCCAAACCTGGTTCGAGGAGCAGCCAGCTTTGGTTCCTGCGGTCTCTAGCACCTTGATAGCTGACAGCCTGAGCCCCAGTTTCTGACTCCAAAGCAAACATGAGAGTAAGGGCCTGCATTTTAGAGTCTAGCAAAGCCTTGACCAGCCAGTAAAAAGAGATGGGCTACCCAGTAGCCTTGTGTGGCTATCAGGCACTTGATCAGTGCAACCGAGGAACTGAATTTTAGATTTTCATTTTAATGAATTTAAATAGCCACATGTGGCTAGCAGTTATTGCCCTGGGCAGCACAGATGTCGAGAAAAAGACAAATACAATTTGTCAGTGCACCGAGGGGCCATGCTATAAGGACAAGAAAAACAAAAACACAACCAGAATCGCCAAGTCAGCCAGATGCTGCCAGGGACAAGTAGCTGGAGGCAACAAGAGACCGAGCCTCCTTTTTCACCTTTTTCACCTTTTACTCCCGCCAGAGCACGGCTACAGCAGCTCCATCACCACCCATCCCCAATTTTTTTTTTTTAAGATTTATTTATTTATTTGACAGAGAGAGACACAGCGAGAGAAGGAACACAAGCAGGGGGAGTGGGAGAGGGAGAAGCAGGCTTCCCACGGAGCAGGGACCAGGGAGCCCGATGCGGGGCTCAATCCCAGGACCCTGGGACAACGACCCGAGCCAAAGGCAGACGCCCAACGACTGAGCCACCCAGGCGCCCCCCAACTCTTCCTTTTTAAGACCATCCGCAAGACCAGCTGCCCAACACAGAAGATCAGTGTGCACCGCACCTGTCATCAGTGTGATCTGTATGCAGCTCCTGTCTTGCCCACCAGTGGTGAGCTACCTGGGGCCGAGACTGTGGGATCCAACGGATATAAACTTTACTTAACACACCGTGTGAACCAGACGCTTTGGGCAAATCCTTGCATTTCACTTTCCCACAGTACCACCAGGAGAGTTCTACAGCCACTTTTAGCTCTAAGGTTGTCAGAGTCTATGAAATTAGTGTCTAAGACCTTCTGGGCCGAACGGGGAACAGGGAGACACAGATGAACATCCCAAGAGCAGAGAGGCAGTGACCAAAATAATCCTACCAGTTGGACAGTGGAAAGAGACCAGCTCTGCTCCAGCCCCCTAGACTATCCTGTTAACAAGCAAATCATGCAAAACGGTCTTCTATCTTACTTTTAAGTTTTCTAAGGGGCAGCAATTTCACTAGTGATTAAATATGGGCAGTACAGTGTTCCTATTTTTATTATATTACAAAATATTTCCTAACAAAACTTTCTACAACCCCAAATTCCATCACATGAACTATTTCTTTACAAACATTCTTTGATAGACTTTTGTTTTCATCTGTTTTCCTTCTGCTGTTTCGCCCTCTGCTTTCTCATAAGCTCTGCAGGAGTTCATGTGAACACACTTCCCAACATGCCTGCTTCCACGTCATCCTGGCAGTTCGTGTGCTGACCTTCACGGCCCCCTCCCCCTGGCATGTCTCCCCTCCCAGCAGCTTGATCCCATGAGGCCAACTCTATTACTCTTTTTTCATTCCCTTTTTAATACTTATCTTTATAGCCTGACACAGTGGGGGAATATTCTGCAAGTTCTCTAACAAAACTGCTGTAGTGTTAAACTAACTTTATATTCACATTGTATTTATACCCAACTACACATTATGTCCATGTTCCCGGCTCCCATGTATTTGCAGGGACTCCTAGTGAAGATGGATCTGGAAGCTAATGCTATGAGGAATAGTCCTTCCCAGCCCCACTCCTATAAATAATGGTAGAGGGAAAAACCCCCAGAGAAACCTTTCTGTAACAAGAAACAAAGTAACAAATAGGCCAACACTGGGCCCGGCGAGGCTCTGAGCCCCGGTAGACCTCAGCCAGGCAGCCCTCGACTCCATCAGGGAGACAGGGACTTGGGGACCCCCAAACAAGGGGGATGAGAACCAGGTCCAGTGCTCAAAGCCAGGGCCCAGCAGGTCACGTCATGGTTGGCACCACTGTGGGAGAGAGTCAGACCTCCACCATAAGACCCAGGTCTGGACTGGATCTAGGAAGGGAGAATGTAAAACCACAGCAACAGAAGCCAGGGGAACAGGGGGGTGGCAGGAGAGGGAAGAAAATCTCAAAAGAAACACTCAGAAGAGGATTTTACGCCAGATAGAAAACAGAACAACTGGAGAATTACTTTAAAATAAGTGCATTAGGGTCCTCAGTGATTTAAATGAAGAAACATTTTTAAACAACACAAACACATGCATACAAGAAATTAAGAACCAAAAATAGGCAGGAATGAACCAAATAGAAATCTCAGAAATAAGAACTATAATCCCTGCAACAAAAATTCAACATAAACACATGACTGTTCACAAGGAATTAGTAAATGGAAAATAACACTGGGGGATCCATCCAGAAGTTGGCACTAGAAAAAGATATCCAAACCATGAGAAAGCAGTTAAAGAGAAACACAGAGAGACTAGTAAACTCTAGTGTCATTAACAGAAGTTCACCCAATAGTTGAGAGCAAAATAGTTACTTTCAGCTGTACAAACACAAAGGTAGTGACCGTTCACAGACCCTCAGTGTTGTGTTTTGTTTTTTTAAATGAAAAGCGATCGAAGAGGGAGGGAGAGGGAAACCAACAACAGGGAATAAATATGAAAATGGATAGCATATGCCGTGGATTTAACTAACTATAGAATATCACAATTTGAACATGAAAACAAGTCAACCTAAAACTCTCCGCCCTAATGACAAGGCAGGTGGGTGGGGAAGGCAAGCTCAAGTTCATGTCTCTCAAGTGGAGGGTGAGGGTAAATGGTGTGCTGGGCTCTCAGGCAGCAGGAGAGAAATCAATACCCAGGCACAAAACCTTCCTTTCATTTTTCAAATTCGATCTAATTTAAACTTGGAAAACCACCTTGCTTCTTCCTCTAGAAAACCTGTCAACCCTAAGCCTTCAACACAACAGAAAATCCAGTTTAAAAATTTCACTTTACAGGAAGAATTTCAGTGATGTCCGTTGTAAAATCAGTGGGACATCTCTCTGTGAATCAATAGGGTAAAAATCAAAATGTGAAGGCCAGTCAAGTCAATGTACTTAAGGATGGGTGTTCACATCGTTCTTACTGAGTAATGCCACAGTGAGGTAAATTCCAGGACCATGCTTTAAGGAGTCCTAGAATGATATTCTTGCCCTTAACCTCGTGTCTAGTATTAAGAGAAAAACACTTGGAGGCAAGTTCTCTCTAAAGAGCTTTTTCCTCTTTTGAACCAACACTTTAAGTACCTTTATACACATCAAATCATAATCCTACATCTGGAAAAGTATTGGCCCTGAACATAGTGAATGTGTGTAATCAGCCTTCTCTAACTGGTAACACTTATTCAGGCAAAACTACATCTTGGATGTTGCTGCCATAATACAAAGCATGACTTCTGGGTTCCAAATGGTGAGTCATTCATTCATTCTCCTACCTTGCAATGAAAGTCTGAAGTTGGGTTTCAGGTTACCTCATTAGAATACATTTTTGGAGCTAGAGTGAAGCTTTCAGCATCCTCCAGCGCACAGTAAACTCTGGGCTGGCTGGCTGTACAATGTTCACAGCAATGCAGGCTTCCCTCCTGGAGTTAACCCCATCAGGTGACTCCAGCAGACGGCAGAGCCAAAACTAGAGTCAGCCAACAGGGTTCCCGAAGACTATCTCACGTGAAAAGCATTTCGTTTTTGAATGCCTTAACCTTCAGTGAAAACAGGAGTGTTAAATCTAATCCTATGTTGATTCAACACGGGAACTACTTGAGAGTGGGTCAAGCGGAGAGAAAGAAGGGAATAGAGTTACCGGAAGAGTAAAGAAAGCAGGGTGCTTCGCTTCATCTTCGTATTTGCCTTCAGTTGAACTTCCAGCCTCCATGGATTTGGACGTAGTGTTCTTACCGATGCCCATCATTAAGAGAAAACGAGCAGTTCAGCTGCTGGACTGCCGGGGCTGGAAGAGAAGGCTTGTTCAGGCGAGGAGCCCAGGATCTGCGCTGGCTCTCCCAGTGCCTGGAGGGCCCGATGCTCAGGCAGAGAAGAGCCCCACAAGCGCCGCCATCTCTTAGCACCTAGAGAGAGGAAGCAGGCAAATCACCACAAGCGCATAAAGAGCACAGGACTCACATTCACTGCATCTCCTGCAGAGAGAAGTTGGTTACAGTACAAGTTACATCCAAACATCAAAAAAAGCACATTACTTAATCACACTTTTCAAGACCCCGCCATCTTCAGTTAGTCGTGCAGATTCTGTATCGCCCCCTGGGAGGAGGACCGCTGAACTGGGCCATCAGCCATACCCAAGTCCAAGGATGAAAAGGCTACACAGCGAGTCCGTTGACACGCTGGAGGGTAGAGCTCTCAGAGCCCAGCACTCTCCAGCAGAGACTGCTGCAGTGAGGAAAATGTGCTGCATCTGCCCCGTCCAACCCAATCGTCACTACCCATGAGGCTGCTGGAGAAACTCAACTTTTACTTGTATCTGGAATTTAAATAGTCACGTGTGACTGGTGATGACCACACCAGACAGTGAATGCAGTTATAGCTAATATACTATGACTGCATGGATATCAAAGTTCTGAATTCCCTATAGGTGCCCAATTAAAGGTGGGGGAAGGCACTCAAAAGCATTAAAAAAAAGAGAGAGAGAGATGAAACCAAACTGGGATTAAATGACCGCACAAAGTTCTAGGCACGTGTCAAGATGACCTTCAAATGGGCTAAAAGAATGCCATACAAAACACAGAGCCAAAACATTCCATATCAATCGAATAACAGCATAAACCTAAGGAAGAAATCAGAAAGACAAAGTAAAAAGGAAGGGAGGTAAAATGGCAAGAGATAAGGGAGGAGGGGGAAGGAGAGCAAGATGGATCTGGAATGCTCAGAGAAACTGATATTGGTTGATGAGGAAAACTGCAATGCTCTGGGCTAAGAGAAAATCTAAGCAAAAGTCGAGAGTAAGAAATTACTGAAACAATTCTATGCAGCCAAGTTTCAGTGAAGAAGAAAATTAAAAACTCAATTTCAAACAAAAGTATGACTTGGACAATAAAAGAGATCCACCCAAAAATTAACAAGCATTTGGGGAATTTCGGCTTCAAAAAATGAGAGGACACAAAGGATTCCCTACAAGGGTTGGCATCTGGACAATAAAACATGTCTAAGTATGCCCCAAGTTTCATTTAAAAAAAAAAAATACCACAAGCAGGTAGGGGTGAGAAGGGACAGAACATTCATCAGATTCATGTCATATCTCAGCACCAATTAATGTCCCACTGAGAGTGAATAACCCAGCCAAGCTGTCCTGCAAATGTGAAGTCACACCTACTCGATGTTAGAAATACAAGTAGGAAACCTGTTCGAGGAACTCTGTTAGGGACTCTTTCATTCAACAATGACTGGATGAACCAAGGGAGAAACTGAAATACAGACAAATAAGAAAAGAGAAGGAATTATACAAAAATCTGGGAGTTCAGTAGGTAGAGTGCAAAAAAGGAAAATAAAATAAACCATTGCCAGAACATCACATTGCCTTAAGTAGAACAGAATCAAGTGCACACATCAAAGTGGTTTGAGGGGCTCTTTTGGTTTAAATGTTCGTGCACATTTTGCCTTCTTGGTTACATCATATCCATATCTATTTAAAGCAGTAGCTCTCGGGACACCTGGGTGGCTCAGCAGGTTAAGCATCTGCCTTTGGTTCAGGTCATGATCCCAGGGTCCTGGTCTCGAGTCCCGCATCGGGCTCCTTGCTCAGTGGGGAGCCTGCTTCTCCCTCTGACCCTCCTCCCTCTCATGCTCTGTGTCTCTCATTCTCTCTGTCTCAAATAAATAAATAAAATCTTTAAAAAAAAAAAAAAAGTAATCCTCTTGGGATCTGGGTCACATTAGCATGCAGACCTGAGTCCAGACTCACATTCTGAACCACCTCCCTCAGCATCCTGGATGAGGCCTTTAAAAATAAGGACTGATATGGGTCTCACCTTAACTGCCATCAAGACAATTACCAATTAAGCCACTTCCACTCCTCCTCATCCCTTCTATTTCCATTATGAAGAGAACACACCCACTCGGAAGGGTAGAGACGAGCCCCCAGGAAGGACAGCCACGCCCTGTACCGGGCCTAGGACACAGGGAGGAGGCTGGGGCACGGGGGTACCTTTTCTGCGATGCCATTCTCCGTCGTGTAGATTGCCATGAGCTCCGTGTCTTCATTGTCCTGTTCACCGCTGGACGTGGCACCTCCATTTATCACCACCTGCAGAAAAACACTTCACTTATAGGTTGTTTCACCGCACACCGCTGTCATTTCATAAAATGGAATGGAAACATTCTCCTCAGACGCCTTTTGTAATGCTCGTAACAGACACCAGCTGTGTGTTTTTTGCCTACCAAATCAGCCAAGTTTCGAGTTTTCTTAAAGGAAACTCCGGACAAGTGTGCACTGCATCAGCGACCGTGTGTCTCTGACGGGGGGAGAGAAACGCCCCGCGGGTCCCACAGGCGGAGGCCGGAAGGAGCACCCACAGAAAGCCCGGGGAGCGGGGCCCGCAACGCCCTCCGAGGCCAAGAGAGGCGTAGCTGCTTCTCTGGGCGGCGGGAAGCATCCTGAGCTGCCTTGGTCAAGATCCCTTCCCAAGTCACCGCGTGATGACGATTCTGAGTGGCGTCCCCCGGAGATGCAACTCGCGCACTGCTGATCACCTAACGTGCTGACGTGCTGACGTTTCTCACCGTGGTTACTATGCAAACCAGCCTGCCAGCGCAGGCGCAGACAGGCGGTAACGTGTGACACTGGACAGGTGTGGGGGCTCTTCCTGCTGACAAAATCTAGCTTCTGGGCCCTCAAAGTAAGGACCAGAATTCATCACCACCCCTCATGCCTGCCCTGGTGAGGCACATGGAGTGATCTTAGGTCCTGGAAGCGTGTAGCAAGAATCAAAATATTTTTACTCTTGTAGTCAAATGGCTCCATTTCTAGGAATCCATCTTGAAAAATTAATCCTGAAAAATAACTATGCATGAAAATAGCAGCACAACTATATTTTTAAAATACAGAGAAAAAAAGACAAAGTACATAAAAAGTTTAGCATCTGGTATTGTAAAGTATACTAAAGAGAAGTAAAAGATGAGTGACAGAGTAAGAGATGGTCGAGCGCAAGGTCTATAGCCCACAAAGGTCGGTATCAGTAGTTGGTAAAGAATACCTGCAAATCAATAAAACAATCCACAGGAAATGGGCAAATGACAGGAGGCTACAACTCACAGGAAAAAATTTAAATATCTAAAACACATGATTAGCTGTCCAACCTCATTTAAAATTACAGAAATAAAAATTTTCATTTTTTAACATAAATTAGGGGGATATTTCAAAAGATGAATCTAGTGTTGACCAGGGTGTGCGGAAAAAGCTACTCTGAGTTATCAGAGAGATTACATTCTTGGTGGACTGGCCTTTGTGGAAGGTAATTTAGCACCAGAACAAAACAGGCATTTTTTGGATCCACCAATTGCACTCACAGAAACTTATCCTCCAGAAATATCCATGCAAATGGTATGGGCATTCAAGACTGATGACTGATACTTAAAATGCTGAATCTCTGGAAACAACCTAAATGTTCATCCAAAAAAAAAAAAAAGACATTACAACCAATGGGGAAAAATAAAGATGAACATTGTGAGATATATCCATTTCAAATATAATGCTATTGAAAAGAATTAAAAAAGAAAAAATAAAACTAACGTACTGACAAGGAAAGAACTCCAAAAAATACTGTTTCTTAAAAAAGTCACAAAACAGTAAGCCTAGAATTATCCTAATTAGGCTTAAAAAAAAAATCTTAATAACCTCTCTGTCTTAAACACTTGGGAAAGGATGCAGAAAGGCCCCAAACCAAAAACAGGAAGGCTACCCTACGGACAAGGAGTAATGATGGGCACACCTTTCATTTTTACTCCCAATCCTTCTTTAACATTGAGGTCTTTTATAATCGGCATGTATTTGTGTGTTATTTGTATGCTGCTTTTTTTAAATGAACAATAAAAAAGATGTCCACCAAAATATTAATCGTGGTTGTCTTTAATCAGTGGGGCCATTTTCACCTTTTTCCCTTTATATATTTTGGAATTTCCTATAATGAGGACAACTACTTTTTATAATGGGGAAGAAATTATGAAGACTAAAGATCTAATAAGCAGCATAGCTTAGATTGAGGAGGTCCAAAGACATTTCAATCCCTTCTTTTTTAAATAGTTGAAGAAATCAGGCAGTGAAAAATTAAACTTCTTATACAGATTAATAACCCAAGTATGAGGCTACTTTAAAGAATGCCAGAGATCTGCACTAACTAGTACATAATTTTTACAGGGCAGCGTTTTCTTATGGCACTTCAAATATTTATTTCTAGAACTACCTCTTAAGTCACAAGATGGGTTTTTACACAAGCTATCTAGGTTTGGGACATTTGTTTGCCCGTAAAACCAGCTGCCAGCAAGATATACCTTCCCAGCCAAGTTCAAGTCCACAACAGGAAACTCTAACTATCAGAGCCACGCTCCAAGTCCTATCATAGCAGTGCTCAGTCCACAGAGATGCCAAGACATACACACACTCAGGATGAACTCTCTTACAACAACAACGCTCAGTTACTAAGTCATCAAAGAAACTCAGACCTGATTCAAAGTCCTATCCTGGCTAAAAACCCCCTTCATCTGCACTCATGGCCAAATGAACAACTTCTCCGTGGGGACGGGGCTTCCTTCAGGGGGATGAAAAGGTTTTGGAATTAGGCAGCGGTGATGGGTGCACAACACTGTGAACGTGTGAAATGTCTCTGAATCGTTCACTTTAAAATGGTTAATTTTGTTAACCATTTGTGTGAATTTCACCTCAATGATTTTTTTTAATTCATATACCCGCACCAAACAGGAGATTTGGGCAGGATTTATCAATCTCCATGCCTTTTCGGACTTATTCCACACACACACACTCACAATAAGTACCATAAGATGCAGATGCTTCCCAGCCTAGGCAAAGGCTCAATATTCATTCGATGAACTGTCTGAGCAC